AGTTTTCACCTGGCCCTAGCGCTCCCAGTAGAGGGAGAGTTTCACCTTGTGGGGAGATTTGAGGGAAGGAGAACTTCTGGTTGGCTATACAGGAACTCCTCCCCATAGGCTCTGCTGACCCCAGAGGATGCAGTCCTGTCAGACGAGCTGAACCATGCCTCCATCATCGACGGCATCCGGCTGTGCAAGGCCTACAAGTACCGTTACCGCCACCTGGACATGGCTGACCTAGAAGCTAAGCTGAAGGAAGCTCAGGTGGGGTGAGGCCGTGGGCCTCCAGAGAAAGGCCCCTATTTCCCCATTCAAGGAAATCAGGCTTGGAGGGGTTCCCTCATCACAAAGAGTCTGAAGAGACTTCCTCATCCCTTATGTCCAAGACTGTGTTCTATATAGTTCCATGTTGCCTGAGATCAAGCACCTTTTGAGCAGGTATTGACTAGGACCTCTCCCCACTTCCAGCTTACCCTCTTGAGGCCTGAGGCCTTTCTCAGTGATAGGGCTGAGGTGGCTGAGCTTAGAAGGGATGGGCAAGGCTCAGGATACAGCCTCAAAGCCATAGAAGAACAGGTGGTTTGGTCCTTCGTCTGTCCCACAGAAGCACCGGCTGCGCCTGGTGGCCACGGATGGAGCCTTCTCCATGGATGGTGACATCGCTCCTCTACGAGAGATCTGCCGCCTCGCTGCTCAATATGGCGCCCTGGTCTTTGTGGATGAATGCCACGCCACCGGCTTTCTTGGGCCCACTGGACGGTGGGAACCTTTGAGGCCTTGGTCGGGGCTTCTGGAGGTGGATGGGAAATAAGGAGGCCAATGGCAGCAGTGGTTGCTTCCTTTGCAGGGGCACAGATGAGCTGCTGGGTGTGATGGACCAGGTCACCATCATCAACTCCACGCTGGGGAAGGCGCTGGGTGGGGCATCAGGTGCTCACCACATCCCATGGGTGGGGTCTCCTTCCCTCCGTCCAGGGCCTGCCCTGTAGCAGTAGAGAAGGTGGGGAGAGCAAGGGGAAAGAAGGATGGTATAGATTCTAGGGGGGCTTTGGGGCAGTTCCTGGTCCCTGGCTGGCCCCTCCTCATCTTGTTTTCTGCTTTCAGGGGGCTACACCACAGGGCCTGAGCCTCTGATATCACTGCTGCGGCAGCGCTCTCGGCCCTACCTCTTCTCCAACAGCCTGCCGCCTGCTGTTGTGGGCTGTGCTTCTAAGGCCCTGGACCTGCTCATGGAGAGCAATGCCATCGTCCAGTCAATGGCTGCCAAGACCCGGCGGTACGGTCTCCACAGGGGTGGATCAGGATAGGGGAGAGATGGCAGCCACAAAGCTTTCTGCGTCCTGTTGGCCACCTCCCTCTCTTTGTTCCTAGTCCCCTCTGCCACAGCATCCTCCTTTGGTCTCCTTTCTTGTCACTCCTACTTCTCCATCTCCCTCTGTCCTTCCTGCCTCTGTCTACCCCATCTGTGCCCCACCTGCTCTTTGGGCCTGTACTTCTGTCTTTATTCCTTCCTCTTACAGGGGGGCAGAGATCCCTCTTCCTTAGGCTTCATGGCCTTCAGCTTCCTGTGATACTTGTCCCCAGGTTCCGCAGTAAGATGGAAGCTGCTGGCTTCACTGTCTCAGGAGCCAATCACCCCATCTGCCCTGTGATGCTAGGTGATGCCCGGTTGTCGTCTCAAATGGCAGACGACATGTTAAAGAAAGGTGAGAGGATGGGGGCAGAGTGTCTTCAGAGAAAAGAACACCTGTGGACCGCAGATCCTCCCTAGATCCAGGTCCTGCCCCCTGATGCCCACACCATCTCTCTGAGATCAACCATCTGTCCAAACTTACCAAACCCCAGGCTACGAGTCCATCCCATGTCTATGAGCTTGGCCGTTCCCTTGTTCTCCGCGGATGGACCTTGGGACAGTAGGCCCTTATATGTCACGGCCCCGAGCCCTTCTGCCTCTGGTATACCCCTGCTATCTTCCCAGGCATCTTTGTCATCGGATTCAGCTACCCTGTGGTCCCCAAGGACAAGGCCAGGATCCGGGTGCAGATCTCAGCAGTGCACAGTGAGGAGGACATTGACCGCTGTGTGGAGGCCTTTGTGGAGGTGGGGCGGCTACATGGAGCTCTGTCCTAAGCTCTGGGCAGGGAGCAGCAGAGCCAGAGTTCCTCTACTGCCAGTGACATAGGGGTCCTCTGGTCAGCCCAGACTAGAGGCTCTGACTTGCAGAGCCTGGTTGAAAACAGGCCTGTACTTGTGGCTGGAGAGACAACAATGTGGAAATTGGCTTTGACACTTTGGTTTGCTTTATTCTTTCTGGATAGGCCCAGTCCTGTGGCTAACTGAAGAATCAGGCCTAAGGAGCTGGGTCTCTGAGGGGCAGTCCCCTACATGAGGTGCCCCCTTACCCCAAACTGATTTGGGATCCTGTGTCTGGGGCCAGCATCTGGTACAGCCGGGTTCTGTGCTGCTATGCACGGCAGTGGAGAGCCAGGCCTGTGGACCTTTTCCGCAACTAACCTTGGTGGACACCTTGTCTCCTCTACCCCATCCTAAGGTCAAAACATAACTGTTTTGAGTTCCTGGGAGGAAAGGGCAGAGGATTCAGTTCAAGCGGGTCACCACTGAAGAACATCTAAGTTTTGTTTGACAGAGCTCTTTGTCCCCAGCTCCGCAGCCTTAGGTCCCTGTCCATGTCCCAGTTTACCCCATTTTAGAAAGCTGCTGTTCCACGGGAGCCCCCCTTTCTGTCTCTGGTTCCCAAGCTGATAGTCTGATGGTCAGCCGCCAGGGGGCGCAGCGCATTCACGCTCCCTCCGCAGCCTGCCCTGCCTTCTCAGCTGGGGACCTTGGACCAGGCTGTGGGGCAACCCTCAGGCAAGGCCAGAAGGGCTGGTTTGCTGCTGCCAAGGCCTTGTCCTTCGTCTTCCCACCCACAACCATCCCGACTGCTGCTCCATTACTCCATTACTGTAGGTGTTGGCCTCCTCCTCACGTTGCTGACCCGGTTTTGCATCGGGCACTTCCAGAGGGGAGGGAGGGAATCTCTGCTCTTAGGCTCAGCCTGCCAGGCCTCTGAATGCTGCTGCAGGCTCAGTGTGGTGGTGTGGCCTTGGGAATCACCTTAATTTGCTTGAAGTAGAAACTGAGGACAAAAGGCGCTTGCTTTTTCATGAAAAACAGGAAGCGATGCCTCTACCTCCAGCTCATCTGTCTGGTGCCAGAACATCTTGGGAGGGACAGTCAGAGCACACTCCAACCTAACCTCACAAATTATTAAAGCTGGGGTTCTGGGAATCCCCTGTCATGCTGCAAAGTACCCCAGCAGCAGCTTGGGGACCAAGAGTAGCCGCTAGGTGGTGTGTGTGGCAGACTCAGCCAGGACAAGAACATCAGGCCCAGGTCCACCCAGACCTATGTGAGGCTGCAGGAATGGTCCATCATCCCATGGCACAGCACGAAAGCCACCGCCTCCAGCTCCCAGGCACTGCTACTGATATTGTTTTCCGGGAGGCAGTTCCTAGAGCGGCTGCACCGTAACCTCCTGCGCCAATTGGCCAAGGTGTTACTCTGTGCTGTCAAGCAGCTTGGGGCTCAGTGAGCCCGCTGATCCAACTTTGGTTCTCTCGCCTTCAATTCTTCAGCCATCCAGATGGGCTCCTAGGAGGTGCCCGGTAGGCACAGCAGCCTCTTAGGGTGCATGTGTGCCAGACTGGGCACATACCAATAGTCTTTGGGCTCCTGTGATAAGCTGTAAGGCATTGGAAGACCAGAGGAACAGCTGTGGATCAACCATAAGCCTTCTTGCTGAGTCCAGGGCCTGCTCCCAGGACACACTGTCCTTGTCCTCTGTATCCAGCATGAGGGTTCAAGATGGAGGCTGGCAGGGGGGAGGGGAGCGGGTGATGGTAAGGACACCCTGGAGCTCTAGCCATGATGGTCTGTCCTTCCTTCCTCTACTTGCCCTGGTACTCTGGAGCCCAACTCCAGGGAAGGAGGGGTCTGGAGGCCAGGTCAGTGGGCGTTTCCAAGGGGTAAAGAGAGGTCATGGAATTCATCTGGGTCTGGGACTCAGGTATGGATATGTGGGTTCACACTTCTGGAAGCCTTACTGCATTGTCACCCATGATTTTAAAAATCTCACACCAAGTCTAGAGACCTATAAGTGACCTGTGCAGGGATCCCAAGATCCCACCTTTCTGATCTTGAGCTCCAATGGTTCTGAAAATCAGCTTTGTAGCTTCTAGGTCCAATTCCTAATAGCTTCGATCCAGTGAGTCTCTGCATGTGGGGCTGGCGACACTAGAGGGCCCCCTCAAGCCCGGGTAAATACACGGGGACCTCTCACAGGAACTGACCCTCTTAGCTCTGTGGAACCTCACACCCTTCTCTGATGTACACTCCGCTTCCAGGTTCTAGGACTCTCCCCGTCCCAATTCGCTGCATACTAGCTTCTGCCCTGCATACAGTTGTCCAACGTCCAACTTCTTGGTTGCAAAGTCTAGTGTCCCTCAGCTGCTCTACCCCTGGAAGTGGTCTGGCCATAGACCGCTCCTCCAAGGTCTCAAGCCAGCCACCCAGCAACCTCTGGTGCCTGCCTGGGCTCTCAAGTGGACTAAGACCTCTCCGTTCTTTTTGGTTGTTGTTCATTTTGCATTTGAGACAGAGTTTCTCTGTGTAGCCTTGGCTGTTCTGAACTCACTCTGTAGACCAGGCTGGCCCCAAACTCACAGCTATCTGCCTGCCTCTGCCTCCCAGAGTTCCGGGATTATAGGCATGTGCCATCACTCCTGGCTCCTCTCTGTTCTTTTAACTTTAGCAGTAACTATTTACAAAATGTAAAGGTGCAGGTCATGGTCTCCCTCTAGAACCTTCTCTAGCTTCCCCATGGCTTTCAGGCTAAACCAAGACCTGGTTTCCAGTAGATGAAGCCCCTGAAACCAGCTTAGGGAAGGAAATGGCTCTCTGGGAATTCAGAGAATGTGAAGCATGGGTTCCTACCTGAAGTCCACAGCAAAGAGACTCTGGTCTTGATTCCCCAGCCTCAGAAACTCCATTTAAAACTAGAAATCCTTTCTAAGCTTAGATCAGAGTTCTACTTGGAGACAGGGAAGCTAGGCAGTAGGGGGAGGAGTCACAGGCTGGGCCACAGGAGGTGGGAGGTTCCAGGAATGGGCTGAGTACCCGGCACGGAAGGGTTAACCACAAAGCCAATCTCATAGAGGGAGATCAATGGGTTACTGCCCGTGAAAAAGAGAATGAGGTAGCAACAGACGCAGACAGGCAGAAATGAGCCTGGCAGAAGAGCATGCCACCCCGGGGAAATCAGGGTCTGAGGAGGAGGTGGCCAGTCCATTCAGGAGCAGTGGCAAGTGCTCCCATCCAACTCAGCAGACAGCTGAAGGCAGAGGAGAGGAGGGGCCCTGAAGACGAAGAAGGAGAACTAGGAAGCAGGGAGGCACCAGGGGCAGCGGCTGAGACGGCTGAGACGAGAGGAAGCTCCAGCCTGGCCATTCTACCAGGAAGCATGCAGGGCCCCAGTGCCTAGGGCTGAGGTGGGTGCTGCCCATCCCGGGCTCGGGGGCCTGCTGCATGCTGGGTACTGCACAGGGGCAAGTGTCTCCCTTCTTGCTTCCTTCCTGCCTCCTAGCCTCCCCCCCCCCCCAATTCATCCCCCCTCTCCACCGGTCCTGGAGTGCAAGGGAATCTACAGGTTGTAAACTGGGGTGGGGCGGGGATGAAAACAGGCAGTGAGCACACAGACTCGTGCGCTGGGATATCCGTGAGCAGCCCGGGGTGCCACCTGTTACAGCCTTTCAGATGCGCAGTCCAGGACAGCAGCCCCAGATCTGTCACTCAGGCTGTGATACTAGCCACTCATGTCCCCTCTCTAGGCCTCAGTTTCCCTATGGGCAGAGCAGAGGCAGCAACTTGTATGCTCTTCCTCACTTTGCTGCTGTAAAGCTCTCGTGAGAATGGACTCTCCGTTGATTCAGGGATGTCACCAGCGCAGCCTGTAGCCACACAAAAAAAGTCCCTAAACACAAGGGTCTCCCCTGAGCTTCAGATGTGGCGGAAAAAGAAAATATAAGAACCCCCAGTGTGTGTGTGTGCGCGCGCGTGCCAGTCCTTGGTTTCCTAGGGAACACCTCTGTAACCCAGAGCCTGGAGGGCCGTTTGGGTTACTCTAGACTTAGGAGGCACGTGAAGACACAGGCAGAATAAGATGAAGGTGTTGCAGCTGGGGGAGGGGCAGCACGAACTCCCGGGATTCATTTCTTTCTTTCTTCCCCATCTGACAGGAAGATGGCTGACATCCAAAACATTTCGCTGGACAGCCCAGGGAGCGTAGGGGCTGTGGCAGTGCCTGTAGTCTTTGCCCTCATCTTCCTGTTGGGGATGGTGGGCAATGGGTTGGTGTTGGCCGTGCTGCTGCAGCCTGGCCCAAGTGCCTGGCAGGAGCCGGGCAGTACCACGGATCTCTTCATTCTCAACCTGGCGGTGGCCGACCTCTGCTTCCTCCTGTGCTGCGTGCCCTTCCAGGCGGCCATCTACACACTGGATGCCTGGCTCTTTGGGGCTTTCGTGTGCAAGACGGTGCATCTGCTCATCTACCTCACCATGTACGCCAGCAGCTTCACCCTGGCCGCAGTCTCAGTGGACAGGTGAGCCTGGGGCAGGCTGGAGAGGGACCTGGACAGTCTTACTGACAAGCGGAGGGGAGCCTAGGGACCAGAGGTTGGTGGGAGGAAAGGAAGGCCTCAGTGGTACCAGCACTTCCAGCCTCCTCCACCGTGGACTTCCAGAGGACATTTCTGTGTCCCAGGTGTCAGCACAGGGCCTAGTGTAAGTGAGAAAGGTACAGCAACAAAAGAAAACTTGGGAGAGCTGGAAGCAGTGGCACAGGCCGGTAATCCCAGCACTCAGGGAGGCAGAGGCAGGCAGAGCTCTATGAGTTTGAGGCCAGCTCTGGTCTAGAAAATGAGTCCAGGATAGCCAAGGCTACACAAAAAACATGAAACAAAAAAAGAAAAAAGATAAAGAAAGAAAAGAAAGACAGGGAAAGAAAAAAGATAAAAGAAATTCCCAAAGCATTGTCAGAAGCTAAGTCCCCACACCTAGCCCACATTGCCCTCACAACTGTTTCGAAACTCCTAAGCCATTGATGACCTTGGGTGAGTCACTTTGGGCCCTTGCTAGATGCCAAGGCAAGGGGATGGGTTGGGGAAATCGAGGCAGGTAGGGGGCGGGCGCGAGCAGGAGGCTCCGCTCCCTGACCCCGTGCCCTGCCCCCCGCCCCCCGCAGGTACCTGGCGGTGCGACACCCGCTGCGCTCGCGGGCCTTGCGCACCCCGCGCAACGCGCGCGCCGCCGTGGGGTTGGTGTGGCTGCTGGCGGCGCTCTTCTCCGCGCCCTATCTCAGCTACTACGGCACGGTGCGCTACGGCGCGCTGGAGCTCTGCGTGCCCGCCTGGGAGGACGCGCGGCGGCGCGCGCTGGACGTGGCCACCTTCGCCGCGGGCTACCTGCTGCCGGTGGCCGTGGTGAGCCTGGCCTACGGGCGCACGCTGCGCTTCCTGTGGGCCGCCGTGGGCCCCGCGGGCGCGGCGGCGGCGGAGGCGCGGCGGCGGGCGACGGGCCGCGCGGGCCGGGCCATGCTGGCGGTGGCCGCGCTCTACGCGCTGTGCTGGGGCCCCCACCACGCGCTCATCCTCTGCTTCTGGTACGGCCGCTTCGCCTTCAGCCCGGCCACCTACGCCTGTCGCCTGGCCTCGCACTGCCTCGCCTACGCCAACTCCTGCCTCAACCCGCTCGTCTACTCGCTCGCCTCTCGCCACTTCCGCGCGCGCTTCCGCCGCCTGTGGCCCTGCGGCCGGCGCCGCCACCGCCACCACCGCGCCCACCGAGCCCTCCGGCGTATCCAGCCGGCGTCCTCCGGCCCCCCCGCCGCTTATCCTGGTGACGCCAGGCCTCGCGGTTGGAGTCTGGAGCCCAGAGGGGATACCCTGCGCGGTGTAGAGACTAGACTAGCCCTGGCCGCCCGGGGACCGCAATAACCCCTGCCTGCCTGGACTCTGGCTGCCCGTCAGTTTGTCCTCTTCCCTGGATGGCAGAATGCTACCGAGGAGCGAGGAGCGTCTAGAGCATGGCAGCCTGGCCAGACTCCGCTGCTGGGCAGAGGCAGAGTTGCTATGACACCTGGGTGGTTAAAATTGGCCCACCCGTCTAGACACCGTCTCAAGGCAGGCGGCCTCAGCCTCGGCCGTGTCCAGAGCCGGTTGGGCAGAACAGTCAGTTCACCTGCCTGCACCTTCCAGGCCCTGTTTCTTCTCCCACCTCAGACTGACTGGCCTCTTTGGTCCCAAGCTCTGACCTGACTTACATAACTTTGTTTTGTTTTGTTTTGTTTTGGTTTGGTTTGGTTTGGTTTGGTTTGGTTTGGTTTGAGAGAAAGATAATACACAGAGGCAGTGATTGATTCAAGTAGTCCAGGCTGGCCTAGAACTAGCTATCGTGGCCAAGGATGACCTTGAACTCCTGATCCTCCTGCTTCTATGATCCAGGTTCTGGCATGATGGATGCCCCTGATTCCTGGCTTGTTCAAGCAGGGAATAGTAAGAGCTATTTCCTTAGCTCTTACTGTGTGCCTCACAGAATGCCATATTCTTTAATTATCAAGACAGCTTTGTAAGGTAGAAGAGATTAACCTTTTAGAAAATCAAGGGTAAATAGGTCACCTAGGGAGTGTTTGGTAGAGGCTGGGGCCAAATCCGTGGCTGTGGAACATTTTTTTTTGCACCGAGGCCTTTCTTTTGTTCCTCGAGACTTCTTTTTGCATGGGTTTATTTGTTTATGAAATATGGAACGCTTCACGAATTTTCATGTCATCCCAGGGCAAAGGGCCGTGCCAATCTTCTCTGTATAGTTCCAATTTTAGTCTATGTGCTGCCGAAGCGAGCACCCATTGGTTTATTTTTATCGTTTGTGTGTGTGTGTGTGTGTGTGTGTGTGTGTGTGGCCCACGTGCCCGCTGTGCTGTAGGAAGCCAAACCTTTGTGAATGGTAGGCAAATGCTCTACTTCCGATATATCCCCAGCCTGGGTTCGCTATCCCTTTACTTCCGATTTGCAGCTCTTGTGCTCCCCACGTCTGATTCCATTCCCTAGAAGCCCAGAGCCTCCCACACAACCTCCCTTCAGAGTTCTGCTTGGCTCCTGAGGCCGTGCAGCCAGAGGGACTTCCTGTAGCCATGTGATTTTGGGTTAGCCCCCTAGCCCTGACACCCTGCAGCATTCCCTGAGCTCTTTGGTGTTCCTGACTCACAAAAGACCCTGAACCTCACTTGGGCCCCAGCTGGCCTCCTACGGGCCTTGATTGCCTTACCTTCCCCACCCTCCCCCACTTCTCCTCTGCACACAGCTGAGGAAGTCCCTGGCTGTCGAAAAGATTAATTAACCAATAAATCAGTCTTGTTGGGTCCCAAGCTGCCTGCTTCCACCCTGCCTTCTTCTCACGTCAATAATGTTGATTAGCTTCGGAGCTGAAGTGTGCAGCCTGTTGCCTCTCCTAACACACCTCCTGTCTGCTGGGTGGAGGCGCCCGAGGAAGGGCTCCCCCAGTCAGGAGGCAGCTGTTCGCTGGTCATACACCTGCCATGTGCTGCTGACCCCAAGCCAGGGCAGCGAGAGGAAGCTGACGTCCGCCAGGGAAGCAGCGGCTTTCAGCCAAGCCCCCACCCACCGGCCCGGTGTCTTCTGCCACGATTCTGCTCAAGTTCCAGGATCTGTGAGAACGTTCCCTGGACAGAGGACTATGCTGCTGCCTCTGGGTAGCACCCGTGGTGGCTGACACCACTCTGTGTCTCACCCAGCACTGGGAGGCAAGGGATGGTGTTGCCATCTTCGGAAGAGAAACCTTGGCTGTAGGGAGGCAGGTAACATGACCACACACAGACAGAAATGAGTGCGGATGGCAGCATCATAAAGCAAGTGTGGCCTAGCCTGGTCTACAAAGTGAGTCCAGGACAGCTACGGCTACACAGAGAAACCCTGTCTCAAAACAAACAAACAAACAAACAAACAAAAAACAAAACCAAGTGTTTACCAACCTCTGAGAGTAGAATGTAGAGTCCCTTCACTGGTATATCATTCTGTATATAAATAAGACAGGCCTTGAAAACAGGTAATGATATGTATATTGTATACCTCTGTTTACATAAAATGCCAAGAATCAACAATTTTATAAAGACAAAGCAGCGCTTGCTGTTTGCTTAGGTCTGGGGGTGGTGGAGAGAGGGGGACGGAGTGCTGCTAGATACTGAGTTTCTTCCGGGGTTGATGAAAAGTTCTCAGATTAGATTCCTAGGGCTGCATACAGTTTCGTTGGTCAAGTGCTTGCCCTGGGTTCAGCCAAGCTGTGAGGTCAATTCCCAGAGGGTAGTAGCCCACAAGAGCCTGTGATGTAATCTTACCCCTTGGAAACTGGATGCAGGAGAACCAGAAGTTCAAGATCAGTGGGCCAGATGTGATGGTGCACTCAGGCCAGATATGGCAAATGCCTTTAACCCTAGCAAACGGGAGGCAGAGGCAGCAGGGTCTCTGTGATTTTGAGGCAGGCTTGGTCTATGCAGTGAGTTGCAGGCCAGATAGGGGGTAGGGACAACTTGCCTCAACAAAACCAAAAACTTGCCTATGTAGCAAGTTCGAAGCCAGATGAGACCCCACCTCTACCAGCTCTAAATAAATACAGATAAACAAATAAGGGAGTGGGCAGAAAGATGATTCATCAGGTGCACGTAGAACCTTCACATTAGTGCATGGCATGTGTGACTACGAAACTACGCTCTCTGCACATACACTTACACAGATACACAGCTTGTTAAAAGCCAAAAGAAGTGAGGCGTTAGGTGCACGACTTCAATTCCATCATTCAGGAGGCACAGGTAAGCAGCTCTCTGTGAATTTGAGGCTAGCCTGGTACATATAGCAAGTGTCGGACCAGCTAGAGATACACAGATCCTGCCTCAAAATTGAAAAAAAAAAGCAAAAACAATAAAATGAAATTAGTTAATCATGATTCCGTGCAACCCTGGGACGCGCCCATAGCATCGGAGTGTGCGGATTAAGTGGGTGTAATTGACATGTAAATTATATTTCAGTAAGAGCATTTGAAATTTAAGAGGTGTGGAGGTGAGCTCGGTGGGGACAGCAGGAAATTCATCTCTCAGTCAGACCTGGCTGGGCAAACCATGGTTTCCAGGAGGGAAGAGGTGAAGAAGCAATGGCTCTGAAAGGCCCAGGGCTATTACACGGACAGGCTGGCAGCCCCAGCGAGGAAAGCCCTTAAGGCCTGGGAAGTGTTTTTTTTTTTTGTGTGTGTGTGTGTGTGTGTGTGTAGACAGGAAGACTAAAGGCCTGTTAGGCTTGGCTCCCAGACCTCTGGGGTTTGGTTTGGGGACTAATGAAGTACTCTGCAGAGCAGGGGATTTGCAACAGTTTGGTTAGGAGAGAACCAAGTGTTCTGAGTCCTCTGTGGAGCCCAAGGCAGGCAGTTGGGGCTGGAGTGGAGGCTGAGTGAAACCAGTTGCTGCCCCCAGAGCCTAGAAGAGGTCACCTGACACAAGGCCCCAGCAACCCAGCCACCCTCAGGGCAAGGCTAGGGTAGCCTCATAAGGAAGAAGCCCTTCCTAGCTGGAGCAAGGTTTGGTTTCTGTAGCCCTTACCTTCCTTCTTTCTTTCTTTCTTTCTTTCTTTCTTTCTTTCTTTCTTTCTTTCTTTCTTTCTCTCTCTCTCTTTCTCTTTCTCTCTTTCCCTCCTTCCCTCCCTTTTTCTTTTCTTTTCTTTTTTTCTGAGACTTGTTCTTACTATGTAGACCAGGCTAGCCTTGAACTTAGAGATCTGCAAAATTCTGCCTACCTGAGCACTGGGATGAAAGGCGTGGACCCCCATGTCCAGTTGGTGCAAATCTCCTAAGGAGTAGTGTGTAGCATTCACATTTGAGCACCTGCCAGGCAAGGCAGGAAAGACAGCCGGGACTGTGGAGCCCAGAGAAGAGGCCATCACAGAAAAGGCTTTCCAAGGCCAGTCATTAAATGTGCATTCTCCATGGCACAAAGAGGGGGGGCATGGAAGACCATTGGTAGGGGCTACAGAATGCAGGGACCTGTGACATCGCGGGATCACCTCTTAAAGGTAGGTGAAGGTGGCGGAGACACAGTGAAGGAGGCTCTAGTTTCCATCTGAAGACTGGCTCTTCCTGAGGGCAGTGAGGAGACATCGCTCTGGTTCTGAAGCCAGAGTGATGAGGTTTCAGGAGTTCTCGGTTGCTGGCAACACTGGCTTTCCTGTGGTGGAGGAACCAAGAGAGACAGGTTGCAGGGACACTGGCCAGGCTGGTGAAAATCCAAAGCGCTAAGGACATTCAGGACAGAGACAATGGGGGACTCAAACAGCCAACCACAGGGGAGGTACAACTGTCAAGATGGATGCCAGCTGAGGAGGGAGAGGACGGAGGTACCTCAGATGACACCCAGGCCTCCAGCTTGACCCCTGGGGTGGCAGTGGGGACAAGTAAGGGGACAAATTTAGAGAAAGGTGATGAACTAGCTGGACTGAGGCATACCAGACCGCAGGATCTGGGTAGGGTGTCCTCAGGGAAATGGCATGCTACACCTGCCCATTTTATTTAGCGCTTGTGTTTGTCTCTGGAACTTAACGTCTCGTCTGTTTTGGTTTGAAGTTAGGAACCAGAAAGGTTGAGTAAGTTGCTCTAGACCACCCAGCTCAGGGTTGTCTGAGTTAGTGTCATGCAGCCATACAAGTGGCAAGATGCAGTTGATTGGGGGTGGGATGAAGCAGGATGTGCCAAGAATGCGGCCTCCCTGTGCCCATCCGTATGCTACTCCCATGACAGGGCTGCCTGACCCTGGCTAAGTGAGGCTCCGGCACAGCCTGTCTCAGCAGCCCGGCGTCCTGCTCTGGGCTGGCAGGGACAGCATCATCTGTCAACTCCGAGGTGTGGACCTGGGGGAAAAAACACCAATCAATCACCCAGCTTTCCTATTAATGAGCACGGTGCAGGGCTCATTTGTAGGCTGCTGGCTGTAAGATGGTGCGAGGCCAGGAGGCCGGGCTGAGAGCTGGCCTAAGAGGCTTACACTGATTAAGGAGGCATCTGCTTGGCAGCAAGCGAGGTGACTTGTGTGGGGGTGAGGCTGGAATTGAAGGTGGGTGACAGGGAAGGTGGATGGGGTACCTGAGGCTTCCTCAGCCTCCGTGGCTCTCGATGGTAGTGGAGCTGGGGCAGGCGCTGGCCTCAGCTGCTGGGACAACTCAGAGAGGCAGAGTAGCACAAGGGAAAGGGGTGAGTTTCAGACTCAGTGGAGTTTGAATCCCAGGCGCTGTACTGAAGGCCTCTGGGTAAACTGGGCTGTTTTTTGCTGAGCGCCCTCTCCAAGGCACTATGGTCCTGTCCTGAGGCACTATCTCCAGCCAAATCCACTTTTCTTTGCACCCAATCTCTCACCTGTTGGGAGTCCCTTCCCCAAAGATCATCCAGGACTACCTACACTCCTGACCCATTACCTCTGCTCATAGTCTTAGTACCCAGTGCATGTCTTACCCATCCAACACTGTGCTGTGAGCTCAGTAAGAAAGAAGAGCGTCAGACCCTCTGCTTCCGAGGTCACCAACCAATCAGGTCACAGAAACAGGCATTCAGTCCTGTGGCCCCTCCTACCAAGTGCGTCCCAGGAATACTGTAGACACTGGGCTTTTGGAAGCCAGGTGGGTCGGGGGAATGCTAGACTAGAGTCTGACACTTTGCTGATTTCAAACAAGTCATCTTCTGTCTCAGCCTCAGTTTCCCCAGAATAAGGGAGACATTCTATACATGAAGACAAGGCAACACTTCACCCCAGACCTGAACCCCAGATTCAGAACACCTGCTAGCACACAGTAGGCCCGCAACACAAACTGTCAACCTCTGTGAGGAAATCCATTGGCAGCGAGTTGTTTGGGGGGGGGGGGGTCACTGGGAGGACTCTGGTTTCAGACATGGCAGAAACAGCATGAGTTTGAGATGGATCTAGCTGCCTAGGTGGGGGACCCTGGCAAACCTGGTCAGGTGTAGATGGCAGCAGGCACAGGCCCACCTCATGTGACCAGGCCACAGTGCTCAGTAAGGATTGTTAGGAAGAAAGCAGTCAGGCCTAGGTCCCCAGGAGCTTCTAGGCAGCTGGCTCTGGAACCAAGCCTGGAGGATTACTTCAGATGAGTTCTCTCCCGCCTGCACCCAGTCCATTGCCCAGGGCCCACTTGTGTTTCTGATTCACTCCAGTGTCTGGGCCGACTCTATCTGGCTGGCTCTTATGACTGATTCGGGGTTACAGGGAATGTTCTGGCTGGAAATGGGACAAGGCAGATTGCCTGGCCGCCTGGCCAGTGTTTGATGATTAACCTAGACGCCAACTTCCTGTAGCAAGCCCTCCCTTCCCTGTCTGCATGGCCACAGAGGGAGTTAGCAACAGACACTGTGCTAAGGCCAAGGGTGCTCTTGGGGCCCAGTCTGCAGGGGCCCCCTTGTTCTTGGAGGCCCGGGCTTCAGGAATCAATTACCCTGTGTCCTTCTGTGTCTTAGAAACTCTGGGTTACCCCGGGACAAGGTGTCCTTGTCCAGAGGACCCTGCTCTTCCTGCCTCCAAGGCACCGAAGTTAGAATTCCCAATCTCTCCCTTTTAAGATTTCTTTATTATTTATATAGTATTCTGCCTGCACATGTACCTGCAAGCCAGAGAGGGTCTCCATCCCTATTTCTCTTAATGTAGATTTTTCCTTAGGATGCCAGTGTGCACGCCAACAAAGCTTGCTCAGTTCCAAGGTTCATGGCCCTTCCCTAAAGCCAGAGGGATGGTAACCATGCCTCAACTCTTTCCAGGTGGTCTAGGGCAAAGAGGCCCATTGATGCAGTGCCTGAGGGGAGCTGGAAGGAAGCCTGGGCCAACTCACCTGGAGCTGGTCACCCAGGCAGAGGAGAAAGTCTGCCTCATACACCCAATTCCTTGTATTTCTTGTCACTCAGCAGGGACAGCAGCTGCCCCACCCCATTTGAGATTCCCCCTCCAGGGAGCTTGGGATAGAAATCCCATCCAATTCTTCCTCCAAGGTCTGGGGAGTTGGTGGAGTTTCAGTTCAGTACCAAGCTGGGGTGTGAGGACAGCCTCTCTTCTGAGAGTCGCCAGCGCTTCCAGCATGGTGGGAGAGAAAGTGGGGCAATGCCAGGCCAGACATGGACTGAGAGCCTAGAAGCCATTGGCCCAATTCCTGTCAGGAGGAGGCACCTATGTGAGGAACCCCACACCTAGGGTGTGGGACAGGGTAGGGCAGACAGGTTCAGCAGACCTAAGAGAGCACTGCAGCGAATCTGTGCCCTGCTACTTTCTCAATACCTGCTGCCACAAGAAGACACCACTAAAAACCAAAACAAACGAAAAGCCACAACAGTTCAAACAGCAGGTTTATTCTCACGTTTCAGAGGCTAGAAACCAAAACATGTCCCACTGAGCTTAAGTCCAGGTGTCAGCAGAACCCGTCCCTGCTGGAGGTTCAGAGAGAATCCATGTGCTGTTCTCCAGCTCCTGGCTTCTTCGACTTCTCACAACCACATGGCAGCAGTCACCTCCTGCTTCCCTCCCACAGGGCTCCCTGGGACGAATCCCAGCCCACCGAGATGACCTAGGACCCTTTCCCCTGAAGACCTCCAGCTATTTATCTGTACAGCCTCTTGTCACACCACCTAAGGCCTAGAGGTTCCTGGCAAGAGGACCCGGGCACATGAACCACTATCTACCTCTGACAACTAGGCTGCAAAACGGATTCCGTTTGTAGTGTTTCAGTGACTGGGAGGGGAGGAGCTGGAGATGGTTCTTTGGGCTAAGCAGGGTCCTTCCTAACCTTATGAAGGCCCAGGCATCAGCAATGTCCCTCTTCTGCTCAGAGACACCCATGCAGTGCAATGTCTCCTTGAAAGTCGGGTGCAGGGCTCAACTTAAATGCTGGTGGGAGGGGCAAGACCAGCTTAAGAGACCCACAGCAGCCTGGGTGGCCTCAGAGTGCCTACCCAAAGCCAGATGATGGTAAGAATTCCCCAGTGGGAAGAGACAGGGCTCTGGGGCTTTCGGAGTGCAGAGGGAAGCCACGGGAGGAGTGGTGTCTCCTGGGACAGCACGTGTGGGCCTGGAATGTGGCTACAGGGGCTGGCATTGTGCAGCAAGAGCTGGGGCTGTGGCGCTGGCCCAGAGAGATGATGCAGACTTTCTGAGAGCAGCTCTGCCCTCAGCATCTAAGGGCAAGGGCAGGCGGAACTCCGGGGCCCCCTGGGCTTTCCCTGTACCGAGAACGGAGGGCAGGAGGACGGTGGCATAGCAAGGAGGGGCCTCCCTTGCTACCTCTTCTCCATGCTCTGCATCTGCAGACTGAGGGAGGTGAAGCTGGCCAAGAGGTCCGTCACCTCATCCACCTGCAGGGAGACACAAAGGCTGGTCTGAGGGTGTATCACCCAGCACGGATAACCGGCAGCACCTCTCTCCAGGGCAGACGAATGCTTCCCCATCTTGGTGTTTCAATGACGAAGACGAGGGCTGGAGACTTCTGTGTTGGGCTCAGCAGAGTCCTTGACCAGTGAAGGCCCCTGTCACCAACCCCTCTCTCTGACTATGGCTGCATCCTGGACATCATGTGGTCTGGGACTGCCCCCGAAAGCAGGGACATGAGCTCATACCAGCCACTTTAGCTTCAAGGAAGTGGACAGAGGCTGTGAGGGTCATGGTGGTGGTAGCACCCCAGGTCCCGTCTTTGTGATACTAGGGTCTGGCTGCACTGCAGAGGCGCTGGACTGGCTGAGACTCTTGCGAAGGCCCTGGGGCTGTAGCTCACCTGTTCTTTGGTACTGGTCATCTGGAGGCGGGTACAGAGGTCATCCAGCCGTTCCCGCTGTTCGTGCCGGCCCAGGCGCTCCAGGTACTCCCGCAGCATGTGAATGATCTGGAAGGAGATGGGGAGCTGAGCTGCTGGCTAGGAGGCAGGCAAAGGCCCAACATGCCACCATTAGCAGAATGGAGTAGGAATATTGGGGGGTCAGTGAGATCAGGAGCCCTGAGCCACAGGCAGGCTGTCTGGTAATCCCGGTACCCATTCAGGAGGAATCACCCATTCAGGAGGAATCACTCACCTGCTTCACTTCCAGCCGCACGGCCTCCAGGCACTGGGAATGGCCCTCCTGTAGAATGTTCAGCTTCGACTTGGCCAGGTGGAGAGGTGTGCGGCCAGCTCTGTCCAGGGCATCCACACGGGCCCCTGTGGGAACAGGCAGAAGGAAGCATGCTGGGGATGAGAGTGAGAAAAGGGCAGGAGGAGGGGAAGGGCCCACATACCTCCTCGAAGCAGCGTGGTTATAACAGGCACGTGGTTGGTACAGGCAGCTGCGAAAGAAGAGAGGCTTAAGAATCGCAACTCCAGGAAGCAGGGAAGAAAAGCTGTGTCTCTGGGTACGTGTGTGCCACATTACCTCCTGACAGTGTTGCCAGGGCAGTATGCTCTATGGGGAAGGACTCACATCAAGCCCAGTTTTCTCCCTGTGCTGCTGGGGAAACTGAGGCCTGGAGATGGGACTCACTAGAACTGATGGAGTGAGTCAACAGCAAGGCTGGGGCAGCCAAAGGGCTCACAACCCACTTCCCAGCAGAGGTGTCTGCTGCCAGGCCAGGGTGCACAACAGCCCTGCCAGGGGCACAGCCTATTGTGAATGGAGGGCCTGTGGGACAGAGACCTTGGGGACTCCACACTCCTGCCAGGGTGCTGGGAGATACTTCTGGGAGCCTGCAGAACCCTAGGCCTCATATTAGAAGTCTACCTTTGTTGGCTTTGAGGACTTACCCAGGTGCAATGGAGTGTTGCCCAGACCATCCTGCTGGTTGGGGTCGGCCCCATGGTCCAGGAGTAGCTGCACTGAAGACAGAAAACCCCATGATATACGGTTAGAGGTTTCCACCCTACCCTGAAGCCAGCAGAGGTTTGCCTGGAGTGTGGTGTGCAGAATCCAGACATGGTTCCCCATGTTGCTGCATGCATTCAATTACAGGGTAATTACATTATCTACAGGGCTTGTGTACTAGACGCCAAAGGTCAGGAACCAAGGACTCTAGGATGGTCTCTTGACCTCTCGGTCCCATCTGACTGAGGAAAGTACTAGGGAAGGCTCCTGGAGGTATTTCCTATTCCCCTTACGGCAGTGAGCCGCAGTGCGAGCTAGGCCATAGGTGATGCTGTGTTCTATGACCAATTCCCCTTCTTCAACAGCTCTAGGCTACCTCATGTTGCCGAGGCTTGCCAATCACCCAGCCGGAATCACTTAGGTTAAGGTCATTGTACAGGGAGGTCAGGCTTAAGTCTCCCAAAAGAAAAAAAGCTAATTCCAGAGTGACTTGTCATGGATGAAATGTAAGCAGCAACACCGTCATATTTCTAGAAGAAAATAGGAGGCTATCTTTGTGGGGTAGGCAAAGAGTCACACACAGAAAAAAACCACCAACCACAGGGAAGGAACAATCACGGACCTACAGCTGGGGCTCATGGCTAAGCTCTGTGATTCCAGCTATTCAGGGGTCTGAGGCTGCAGGGTCTCAAGTTCAAGGCTTACTTTGGCTGTAGCATGAGCTCAAGGCCAGCCTGGACAACTTACTAAGACCTTGTTTCAAAATAAAAAGTAAAGCCAGGCAGTGGTGGCACTCGCCTTTAATCCTAGCACTAAGGAGACAGAGAAAGGCAGATCTCTGTGAGTTTGAGGCTAGCCTGCTCTACAAAGCAAGTTCCAGGACAGCCAGGGCTACAGAGAAACCCTGTCTCAAAAAAAAAAAAAAATCCAAACAAACAAAAAAGAAGGCTGGGATGGGATATAGCTTAGTGGCAGAGAGAGCACTTGCTAACATGAGTGAGACCCCAGAACCACAAAAGAAAGAAAAGGGAAAAAAAATAAAGGCTGGCCAAGGTTTGTGTATGCCGTAATTCTAGCACTCACGAGTAATCTGGCATCAAGGGCTCCTTTCCTTATTCCACACCTTTGGGCCACCTGAGGCATGCAGACAGCAATTCCTCCCCCATTCTCTTTAGAAAATGTCACTGACTTTGACCAGCACCTGCTGCCTCCCCAGGACTCACCAATCTGGTCATTGCCGTTGCAGGAGGCAAAATGGAGGGCAGTTCGGCCTTTGTCGTCAGCTGCACAGGGATCTGTGCCATCTTCCAGCAGCTGCTGCACTGACCACCAAGATGGGGGAGGAGACGGGGGAGAAAGAAGTAGTGTTAGCTATGCTGCAGTCCCTAGGGACGGACAATGGTGCTCAAGGGCCTGTCTAGATGAGCCATCCATAATTCACAGGGAGGTTGGTCCCTCCTGGATGCTGGGCCCACAGGGACTACTAGGCCCATGGGGAATTCTCTTGTCTTAATAGCCATGGGTTGTGTTTAACCAGCGTCTAGGGATCGGCTAGAACGTCAGAAGGGGCTATTGATCTCCATCGTAGCCACTGTGAGTCACAGTAATTCTGGCATAGGCCATGGCCCCATCCCTCTGTCTCCGCTTAGACACATATGCATTCCGGCTGGACACGGCTGCCCGAGCTACTGGCTGGGACTTACTTGGCTCTCAGGAGGTAGCACTTTAAAGGGGCAACAGCACAAGGCCCAGGGACACACAAAATCTCAGACTAACCTAAGCAAGAAAGGAGTACACAGCCCTCAGCATGAGGCGCTGGCAGGGGCTGGGCTGGGAACAGGCATGGGGGCCTGGACTTGCACAGCAGTCACCAGAAAAAGGGCATCATCTCTGGCCTGCGCATCTGAGGAGCTGCTGTGATGGGGATAATGGATGTGCTATTCCATCTCTGACAGTGTAGAGGCCCCATAAAGAGGGAGACATTAGACACTAATGGCCATGTCCAACACAAGTGGGGAAAATTGCTGCTAGTCATTTTAGAGTCAGCGACATCCTAGTCTCTTTTCCCCAGTAGACCCCTAAAGGAGTTCTTCCAGCCAGAGTGCAAACTGCTTCCTGTCCATGTGGCTCTCCCCGCTGACTCAGCCTCTTCTTTTCTCTCCCACACTTCTCCCGTGTCCTGTTCATCCTGTTCCTTAATGGCCTCAGACTGTAGTCCTCACGGAACAGTGTGCTCAGCGTTCTGGCCAGGCATCCACCCCACAATAGCCAAGCGAGGTGTCACATCCGCTCCACAGACCGGGACACTTTGCTCAGCGAGACAGCATAAGGTTCAGAGGCCACACTGACCCAGGTGACAAAAGCAAAGGACATCACTGCTGTGTTTTGTGTTCTAGTCTGGGTTCTGAACTGGTGTCACTTTATTGTCTTCCTCCTCAGCTATCTCACAGGTTAGAGCTTTGCTATGAGGCACAGGACCCTGTGAGTGCCTGCTCTGTCAGTGTTGCTGGCTGGCTGGCTAGGTGTGGTGGCTCACTCCTGTAACCATTGCACTCTAGAGACAGAGGCAGGAAAATCACAAGTTCAAGGCCAAACTGAAAGACACTAGCCCGAACACTATCCTCTTGCCATATACTATGGAAAGTAAAAAAAAAAAAAAGGGGGGGGGAGGGAGTTCTGGGTGGACAGGCAGGCTCAGTAGGTAAAAGTATTGGTCACCAAGACTGATGGCCTGAGTTCAGTCCCACACTGTGGAAGGAGGGAACAAGTGCCCACAAGTTGCCCTCGGACATTTGCAAGCACACCATGCCGCATGCTCCCCTAAGCAATAAACATTAAAAATAATAGCCAGGCAGTGGTGGTGCCTGTCTTTAATCAGAAGCAGAGGCAGGTGATTTTCTGTGAGTTTGAGGGCAGCCTGGTCTACAGATCAAGTTCCAGGACAGCCAGGGTTAAACAAAGAAACCCTGTCTTAAAAACCATAATAATAATAATAATAATAATAATAATAATAATAATAATAATAATAATAATAATATGATGATGATGATGATGATGATGAAGATGTCAATTATTTTTTATTGCAAAACTTTCCACAAAGATGCTCAAATATCCTAAAACATTAAGTTCCATAGCAAACAGACCCACTCGAAAAGTGGACAAAGCTTTCAGGTTCTGGGCCTGCTGATGACTGCTGTGCCAAAGGCAAGGAAACCATCTGGAAGCAGGTTCCTGGAACCATCTGGAAGCAGCATGTCCCTACCCATGCCTGCTGGAAGTGGGCTCCGAAGCCATGGCCCTTTTTCAGTATTGACATCATATCTGTTGTCCATAGCGCCCCACCACCAAAACAGAACGTTGTACACTGGCAGGACAGTAACCCCCAGATTTTGTGGATATGTTACCTTTAAGTAAAAAGTGATTTTGTAGATCTGTGTAAGCTAAAGACTCTAAGAGGTGGAGACAATGTGGGATTATCCAGGCCCAAAAGAACCAAATAAATCCTTAAAACCAGGGGACCTTTTCCCACTTCAGAGACTAGAGAGGGCAAGATGAGGACTCAGCCCACTCTTTCAGGCTTTGTACATGAGAATGAGGCTGGCACCAAGAAACATGGCAACTTAGAAGCTGCAAAACGCGGAGAAACAGATCCTTCCCAAGATCCTCCAGAAGGAAATGCATCTGACAGACACCTGGAGCGTAGCCTGGCCAGGGAGACCTGGGTTGGACATGTGACCCGTACAACTGCATGGAACTTGTGTGGCCGCCCGCTGGATTTGGGTCATTTCTTCAGGCCGCTGTGATGGTTAATCTTGTCACCTAGGAGACTAGTAAGTCGCACGTCAGTGTAACCTCTGACAGTATTCTCAGGGGAGATTAAGATCCTGGGTGTGGGCGACGCCATCCCACAGGCTGCAGGCCCGGAAGGGAAGAAAAGGGAAAAGGAGAGAGGCTGAGAACACATGCATGCTCTCTCTGCTTCCTGCCACAGTGACATTGCCTTCTCTCTTCTGCCACATCCTCCCAGCAATGACCAATAAAAACTTGGTTTTTAAAAAATTTATTCATCATTTTGTATTTGCTATGTATGGCATATGTTCATGGTATGTGCAAGTGTCTATGTGTGTGCATGCAGAGACCAGAGGAGGACCCCAGCAACTGCCTATCATTTGTCACATTATTTTATGATACAAGGCTCTCTCACTGAACCCGAAGCTTCCTGTCTTACTTCGGTGGTTGTCTGTCAGGCTCCTCGAATCTACCTGTCTCCAACCACATAATTCTGGGGTTACAGGCACATGAAGCCAGGCCTGACTTTTTCACATGGGTCCTTTGACCTCAGGTCCTCAGGAAGTGCTCTTACCACTGAGCCATTCCCCAGGACGAACCTGTTATTTTTATCCCCCTCTGTATCCTAGGCTGTCTTAGAACTTGTTGTATAGACCAGACTGGCCTTAATTTACCATCCAATGACCTCTGCTCCTGAGGGCTGCAATTAAGGGCATACTCCACCACACTGAGGACCAATGGAGTAAATGATCTGAGGACCGAAAGATCTGAAGTCTTGAGCTAAAAGAAATGTCCTTCCCTTGTGTGCTAATTTGTCTAAATAGTCTGTGACAAAAGTCTGACAATACAGCAGCCACAGTAAACTAACACACCATTTCCCCCTGACACATGACTGGATTAAACCCTGACACAGGCGTGGATTGAATGACTAGTATTAGTATTAGCAGTGATAGCCGTGGTAGTAATGACAGTAGTATTTGTCTTAGAAGCTGTTCTGGTATGGCTGATGATCTGTCTCAGCTAAGGGGATGCTCAGAAGCAGCAACAGAAAGGCAGTCCTGCAGGGAGTCCCAACTGTGCTTGTCAGATGCTGTGTCAATAACGGATCAAAGACAGGCGGTGGTGGCGCATGCCTTTAATCCCAGCGCTCAGGAGGAAGAAGCAGGTGGATCTCTGAGTTAAGAGGCCAGCCTGGTCTATAGAGTGAGTTCTAGGACAGCCAGGGCTGCACACAGAAACCCTGTCTTGAAAAACCAAACCAAATAAATCAGGTCTAAGGACCAGCTACTGAGCAGCTATAGGTACCAGATGATCTCCTGGCAATCAAGATAGGGTGTTCACCCCTGGGAGCCAAAAGGTCTAGAACTAGAACAGGCACTTGCTCTTTGCTGAGGGCTATGCTGAGTCCCAGGATGAAAACAACCACCAAACCAGACACGGTCGTTAGCATCAGGAAGCACACAGGGTGGTAAGCACTAGGACACAGGTAAACTTTGGGTAACAGAGGAGAACAGCGAGGAGAACCTATGCCTCACTTCTGTTCTGCACAGGGACTTCAGAGTCAGGGAGAAACAGAGCGAGCATGCTCCAAGCGAGGGGGAGCTTTTCCCTTCCCATCAGCCCATAGGTCCCACTGCGCACACTCACCTGTTTCTACATCATTGGCATTGGCTGAGTCTCTCAGCCTCTTCAGAGCTATAAAGAGAGAAGTGACAGTTTCTTTTAAAAATGACCATAGACAAACAGAAGATGCATGGCTTCCTAGCTGTCCCTGCTATCCCACAGTCCTGAAAGGCAAAGGTGTCAGAATAGAAACCACCAGCCTGGGAACAAGGAGAAAACAGGGACTGGGCCACAGCTGGAGAGACCACTGTCTGCAGCAAATCTGACTTCTGGAGCCAGATCTAATTTCTGTCACTTGTGGTGTAGCTTGTGACCTTGGGCGAGCCAGTTCCTCACCCTGGGCCTCAGTCTATTATCTATAAAACAAGGCTGAGTTGTTCTGCCAGCTCTAAGCTGTTACAAAGAAAATTGAGATAATTTTTTAAAAGAGAAAGGATGAGAGGGTTTATTTAGTCCTTGGAGAGCTAATCACACTCAGCCTCGTGTTACTTGACTTCAAAGCTGGTCATTCCTAAGTGACTTACCAAATGTGGTAATTCCTAAGCAGAAACTTTCCCCCTTTTCAACAGTATTACTTCTACCTTAGAACTAACAGAAAGCAGTATCTTTTTTTGAATTTATTTATTTTTTTATAAATTATAGTTTATTCACTTTGTATCCCAGCTGTAGGTCCCTCCCTCAACCCCTTCCAATCTCACTCTCCCTCCCTCATCTCCTCCCATGCTCCTCCCCAAGTCCACTGGTAGGGGAGGTCCTCCTCCCCTCTCTCTGACCCTAGCCTATCAGGTCTCATCAAGACTGGCTGCATTGTCTTCCCCTGTGGCCTGGTGAGGCTGCTCCCCCATCAGGGGGAGGGGATCCAAGAGCCAGCCACTGAGTTCCTGTCAGAGACAGTCCCTGTTCCCCCGTACTAGGGAACCAACTTGGAGACCAGAAAGCAATATCTTTGTTGTCAGAGAATGGTCAAAAAATTGCAAACTAGATCTAACAATTGCATATAGCCATGTGCTACTTTTTTGTTTATGCAGTACTTTGAAATCCTCTTTTACTACTTATGACACTAAGACACCAGGTCAAACAATGTTAAGTCTAAAAAGAGACCTTAAAAGTTCCCATTTTTAATTCTTTTGCACCCCATTTTTCTTTTCACTCATGAGTATAGAAAGCAATATAGCAGACATTCCAGGGCAGTCTGGTTGACTTGGGTTGGAATACTGGCACAGCCTTATCTATGTGACTTGGAATCAGAATGTCCAAATGATAACCACTGGACTAGGCAGTCAATGATAGGTAGGATTTGGGGATGCTGAGAAGATTTTTTTGGGAAAATTTGTCTGCTACAAAGCCTGACTTACTGAGTGCAATCACCAGGACTCACGCTGTGAAACTGGAACTTAATACTTAGTCCAGGCTAGCCTTGAACTCATGGGAGTCTTCTTGCATCTGCCTCCTGAGTGGTGGAATTACATGTGTGCGCCACTGTTGGAAGGACCCTGCTGTTTTCAGGTTGCAGTCCTTCCAGTCTGGAGCCATTCCGAGCTCGGCCTTCAGGTGCAGGACTCCCTCTCCCCAGCAGGGCCTCCTGCTCTCTGCCTGACTTCATCTGGAGAGTGTCTTTGGAGATAGATGCCTCTAACCACATCTGATATATGGCCTTTGACACAGCTCCCGGCTAGCTCTCCCCTCCCACCTATAGGATAATTAGATACTGTGTTCCTGTTCACGCGATAGGCTTGTGCTGTTTAATGCAAATCAAGCATCCTTGAGGTGCCTAGTTTTAACCAATTATGTACCTCTATCCTTGGAGTCCCTCACCCACTCCCCAAGGAGTATATAACCTTTGTTCTCTGGAATCAAAGTTGAACTAGCTCCCTCAAGTAGTTCCGGGACGGGACATGCTTTGCTGGCCTTCCAAGCTCTGCACCTCACCTTCTGCTCCTCCCGCCTTCGTGGGCTGGTGGCCAACAGCTCCCCGCCCCCCAGGAAGGAGAACCTCACACCACCACACGTGGCTGTTTTTCTTGCTTACAGTAAATTCTGTACAAGTCACTTCTCACAACGTATCTCTTGAAAGGATAATTTTTTAAAAAATGTGTATCAAACAGGTGTTTGCCGCATCCCAAAAGTAGTTCAGAACCTTACCTAACTCTTAACACGCCAGTAAGTTCAGAACCTAACCGAACTCCTAACACTCCTGTAAGGCTGGAAGGGTGCCCATTCTACAAACAGAAAATAGAGGAGACAAGTGTCTGCAGGTTGCCTGAGGACCAAGTGTTGAGTATTGTGACGCGGATCTGTGCATTCCCACAAGTTGGTTGAGCAGGGACACAGGCTCTAGGCTCCCCTCTCTGGTAATAAAAACACTCTATTGTGCTACACTATTGTCTACTAACCACCCTCGGGAGTGTGAAGTTTTTATCCAGGGATGACCAAGTGGCCGAAGCCACGGTCCCCGGCAGCTCTAACTCCTGCGATCACTCACAAGCGACCCCCGGGGCCCCGGCTGAGCTCACCGTGTACCTCCTTGCCAGTGGGCCCGAGCCGACGGTGGGGTCTGGCAGCGCGCCTCAGCCGCCCGGCGGGGATCTTGCAGCACAGTTCGTCGCGGGGCTCGGTGTCCTGCTGCCACAGGACCTGGAGGTAGCGCAGCGGGGACTGGGCCCTGCCGGCCGCCCGGCCCGGGAGGCCCGCGCCGCCGCCCAGCGCAGCGCCGAGGTCCGCGAAGGAGAACAGGCCTCCCGCTTCCGCCAGCGGCTCCGGCGCCACCGCGCACTCGCCGTCGGAGCTCGAGCGGCCGGATCGCGACTCGTCGTCCGCGCCTCCGCCGGTGGCTGCCATGGCAACGGCTAGGCGCGGGCCTGGCAGCGCCAGCCTCGTTCCCGAACCACCAACCGACCCGCTTCCCTCCAGGAGAAGCTTCGCTGTCAGCAAGCGGGAGGGCGGGGCCTGCAACCACGGCAACAAAGCGCGGCCGAGCGTCGAACCAATCAGAGCTTGCCCAGCCTGCACAGCACAGCCAATCAGACAAAAGAGGCAGAGTACAAGGAGAACACTGGTTTTCGGTAGTGTGACTGGCGGCCCTATGAGCCAATCACAAATCAGGACTGCCGATGCTCTAAGCGGTGTTACTACCGAAGCCAATAAAACCGCCGAATTCAAGACGCTCCCTCCCACCCCTTCTCTCATTTCTTCCTGTCGTAGCTCCAGACAAGACGACTGGCAAATGCTTTAGCCAATGACGGCAAGATGCCCTCCGGCCAATCAGGAAGGAATGTGAAGAAACCCAACTGCTCTGGTACTGGTGTGTTTTGAATCAATGAACTCAAAAAAATTAAAATAAAATTTTTAAATGAAATAAAATAAAAATTTTCAGAAGCACGATAATTTGATGATATCACCATGAAGGAGGTGATAATAGATTCTAACGTAATAGATGTCTCCTCGTCAGACTGATTTTGCTGATCATTGCTTTAACAAAGAATTATATTCAATGTAATTATACAAGCGTAACCCTTCGGTAGGCAGATTAGCGCAGCTCAGCCTTGAAAGTCCTATCTGGCCTGCCCATTACCCAAGGGGCTGCAAGGAGACACAAACACATCATTCATGTCTGGTCAAATGGAAAAACACTTGAGAGAATAAACAAACAAACAAGCAAACACCTGCAGCATTGCTTTGTGCTAATTCAGGGACTTGGGTTCTAGTCCTGCTCCATCTACTCCAAGTTTGTGACTGGAGGATAGCTTCTTAGAATTGCTCTACCACCAAAAGTTGATATGAATACCAGCTCAGGCCAGATCCATCTTTTTTGCCTTGATTTGTTAGCCTTTACACTAAGTTAGAGAAATTTGAACTGGTTGTCCGTATTTTTAAATTGACAGCTGAGCCAGCAAGATGGACGACAGTTATCAATCTGTGGGTTGTGACCCTTTTGGGGTTGAATAGCCCTTTCACAGGGGTTGTCTAAGATAATCTACGTATTTACATTAGGATTCATGACAGGAACAAAATTACAGTTACGAAGTAGCAATGAGAAAAATTTAATGGTTGGGGGAATCACTGTTGTGGGATATTTGACCACACTGTGAACCCAAGATTGTGGACTAAAAAAACCTGGTTTTTAGATGTGGTGTGGCTCAGCCCTAGCACACACTGTTAACCCAAGAGCTTTCTGTAAACAGCATTAAATAAAGTCAATAGGTCAAGAGGTGAAGCAAGCAACCAGTTGACATGAAGTGAACATAAGAAAATAACTTAGAGAGTGAGAGGAAGTCTGGAGAACGGATAGAGACACAGGAAGTAGAAAGGAAGGACATTCAGTTTGAAGGGTTTTTAAGACAGTGTGGAGGAAGAGCTTTTTTTTTTTTTTTAAAGATTTATTTATTATTTATACAACATTCTGCCTGCACACCAGATCTTACTATAGATGGTTCTGAGCCACCACGTGATTGCTGGAAATTGAACTCAAGACTTTTGGAAGAACAGAAAGTGTTCTTAACCTCTGAGCCATCTCTCCAGCCCCCGAGAAGGAGCTTTTTCCTTCTGGGACTTTGGCTGAGGAGGAAGGTCAGCTGGGTGCTTTCTCTACCTCTCTGAGCTGGCAGGCTTTCACCCCACGTCTGGCTCCTGAGTCTTTATTGGTAAAATTGAACATTTGGGATTTTGTTTTAAAATAACAGGTCACCACACCATGAGGGACTCTATTAAGAGTTGCAGCATTAGGAAGGATGAGAGCCACTGGCTTTGCAGGTGACAAAGAACTCTTGTTGTATTAGCCTGACAACTTGAGTTTGATTCCAGATCTTGTGGCGGAAGGAGAGAACCTGCTCCCGAAAGGAGCCTAGCCTCCACACTCATTCCATGGCATGACAGTTAGTCTGTCTTCCTCTCTCCCTCTTCTTCCCTTCCTTAATGCCTCTCTCACACACACAAGTAATAGTAAAAATTTGAAAATAACACTTGGCCACTTTCAAATAACGTATTTTGTTTTTTTAAAAGATGTATTTAATTTTATGCATGGTGGTCTTTTGCCTGCATGTATGTGTGTGAAGATGCCAGATCCCCTGGAACTGGAGTTATAAACAGGTGTGAGCTGCCATTTGGGTGCTGGGAATTGAACCAGCGTTGTCTGGAAGAGCAATTAGTGCTCTCAACCACTGAGCCATCTCTTCAGCCCTGTTTTCATTTTTCAAGACAGGGTTTCTCTGTGTAACTCTGGCTATCCTGGAACTCACTCTGTACAACAAACTGGCCTCAAAATCAGAGATCTACCTGCCTCTGCCTCTTAAGTGCTGGGATTAAAGGTTGGCACCACTACTGCCTGGCTTAAAAAATATATTATTAATTGAAAAAAATTTGTACAATAGATTCTGATCATGCTCTGCCCTTCCCCCAACTCCTCTCAGACCCTCTGCACCTCCTTACACACTCACCTTCATGCCTTTTCTTTCTCTCCTTAAAAAAAGAAACACACATGGGGCTGGAGAGATGGCTCAGAGGTTAAGAGCACTGGCTGCTCTTCCAGAGGTCCTGAGTTCAATTCCCAGCAACCACATAGTGGCTCACAACCATCTATAATGAGATCTGATGCTCTCTTCTGGTGTGCAGGTGTACATGAAGACAGCACTTATATACATAAAATACTTAAATAAATAAACATTTAAAAAAACAAACACACACACACACCAAAAAAACCACAAACAAACCAAACACACACACACAAACCAACCAATCAAACAACAACAAACATACCACAAAAACACAAAAAATTGAAACCAATATACATAAGCAAAGAGCCAGTAATACAAAAATACCCAAACAACACAACACAGGACAAAAAAGTACAAAAATATTGTTGACCTAATTTTGTATGGGCTCGCTCTGAAGTATGGTTAATATACCGCTGAGATTTCATCAAAGAAAATTAATTGTTCTTTGCAGATAGCGTTAAGGGTGAGAGCCCCTACCCACTTCTTTCTCTCATCACTGGGACCCCATCCTGGCCCACAGTTCCTGTGAGTTCATCTATGTATCAGTCCTGTTGAGTTTGGAGGACACTGTTTCCTTGGAATCGACCATCACCTTTGATTCTCTTTGTTTTTCCCCACAGGGTTTCTTTGTGTAGTCCCGGTTGTCTTAGAACTTGTTCTGTAGACCAGGCTGGCCTTGAACTCAGAGAGACTCGCTTGCTTCTGCCTCCCACAGGCTGGGATCAAAAGCATGCGCCACCGATTTATAGTGCAGTTTTCAGGGCCTAGTGCATTTGGGTGGCTGGGTTCTGGTGGAGGCATGCTGTCTTTCCTTGTCACGTTTGGGTTTTCATGCTGAGGTCTAAGCTTCTGGAGTGATGTAGTTTGAGGTGTTACCTGGTGTTAGCCTTTTCTTTGCCTTCTGTGGAGGGGTGCTGCTGCCCTCTCTGGAATCTACATGAGTGTGGTGGCTGTGAGGGCCCAGGTGGAGAGTGTTCATGTCAGTATGTGGTAGAACGGAATGGAACTGGCTAGGAGGAAAGGCTGAGAGATACCACGGGAAAGAGCTAGATGTTGCCTATTCACGATGAGAAAGAGGGAGAGAGCGAGGCATCCCTGCTGTAGGCAGATACTCCCTTTGTATACTTCATAAACTCTGCATGCTGTATAAACTTTGTAAACTCTCTAGGCATCTAATTGGCCAGGCTTCCCCCGAGGAGCTCTAGCAGCTAGGCCCTGCCCCAAGATGTCCCTACTGGCCCTAAAGGCTGTTTTCTAGTGGCTGTAATGGCCGTTACCAGTCCCACAAGGCAGAAGAATGGCCATACCACACAGAAAAGGAAATCTCACCAATCCTTGACCTTTCCCACCTAACCTCTCCACTCCCAGGCCACTATGTAAAGCTCCACCCCACCCCGAAGAGATCCTTGATAAACCTGGGTTCTGTTGCTGCTTGTCCCTCAAGCAAAGGCAGCCACCCTCCTGGGATTTTCCCTCCCAATAAATTCCTTGTGTGAGGTTTGTTGTGTGGTGTGGCTTTGTTGTATTGCTTAGCTCCGGACTGCCAGGATAACTTTTCCATCTGAGCTGTAATGCTTACACTAGGGGGTTAAGAGACAGTTGCCTGAGTCTGGCCATCTCAGACTCCATCTTGCTGGCAGGGTCAAAACTGAGTTCTTGTTCCCAAGACCCTGGAAGCAACGCCTATCCTGCTTCTTCAGGTGTTTTATGTTTGTTAACCAGGAAAGAATGTAAAGAGGGAAGTTGCTGATTATCTAAACTAAGGCACACAGGCTGTAAAGGTATTGCCTGTCATGACTTAAATTGACTCCATGCAGCTTGCCCACTCCTTTGTTCCCTCATTATTCTGAATTCTGGGCCAGAAGTCCAGGAGGGGACTTGATGGCAAAAGCTGAGTGGAGAGCTGATCGTGGTGGCTCATGCCTTTAATCCCAGCACTCCAGAGGCAGAGGCAGGTGGATATCCATGAGTTTGATGCCAGCCTGGTCTACAAATCTAGTCCAGGATAGCCAAGGCTATACAGAGAAACCCTGCCTCCAAAACAAATAAATAAATAAATAAATAAATAAATAAATAAATAAATAAATAAATAAGTGAAAAGTTAAGAATACCTGTTACTCTACCAGCTACAGAGATCTGGTGCCCCCTTCTGACCTCCAAGGGCACTGCACAAATGCGGTACACATACACTCAAGCAAACTTCTCATACACATAAAATAAGATGGATAAATCTAAAAATGTTAAGCAAAGTATAATAAAACAAAAAATATTCTGAGAAATCGTAGATTATTTGTGGGCAACAATAATCTGGTTTTTTAAGTCTATGGTGAAAGGAAGAGACACAATTTAAGATGCAATAAAGAGAAGCCTACACCTTCACTGGCCTTTTAAGTTATACTGTATGCTCCAGTTTAGGTTTTGCATGATGAAACTTTTTCCAGGGGATCCA